CAATCCGAAAGGATCCCTATGATTCCAAGGGTTACACACACACACACTTAGACAATGGGTTTGCAGTTAACTCTGTTCCACGAAGAAATGGATGAGGGAAACGTAAGGTGGCTGAGTCCGCGGAGGTGAATGTTTCAGAAAACAAGTTACTGATTACTTAGCAGATTGTATTAACGCCGTGCAAGGAAACCTGTTTTGTGGGATATCATGCGAAGAACCACCATGGAAACAAACCAACAGCGGCAAGGGAAACCAGTGGAGTCATTGCGTTTGATGCAGGTGACCCGTCCCCCTGCATGTAACAAAAACTCCTCGAGACGGAGTGTGACACACACACACACACGCACACACATTGTAAGCAACATCCACTGGGCTTCTTTGGCATTTGGAACATGGCATTGTGCACAAATACGACCCCCACACACACCACGACAGTGTCACGTTCTTGGAAGGAATTCAAGAGCACATACCACTTTTGGTAGATCAAGGTAGAACAATCCTGGACTGCATGCTCTGCAGTTTTGGATGCGTCCTTTCTGAGTTTCTGTTTCCTTTCCATGCCCATGAAGCACCAGTGCTTCAGCACCTGCTCGGGCCGGGGCCGCGGGTCCGGGGCCCTGGGGCGGACACCGTCCTCTCAGGACGCAATACATTCGGCGACTCTCGGGTCAAATCAGAGACGCTCGGCGAAGGAGTCAGACCGCCACGGCCAGACCGGCCAACGGATGACCTTCGTTCGCAAGCTGAGGACGAACGAAGCTCTTCTTTGGACGAAGAAGCATGAACGTGTTGTATAAACACATGATAACACATGCATTTTCGATACATATATATATATATATATATCTGAAAAAACACATACCACATTCATCTATATACCGGCCAGCGAAACATTCGACCGACCGACCAGATCAGTGGTCGCAGATGCCCTCGATGGATCTCTTTGGGCCGACCGACCTCCAAACCCCAACCCCCCCGGGAAGGTTCGGACCAGCAGCCGGGTTCGCCAGGGATCCTTCCAAACATGGGGTACTTTGGGGAGATGATTTCATACACCAACAGTCACAAAGGGATGCAATCCATGGAGGTTAAGGGTGCCCATGATCCATTCACTGGATGGGACTAAACACCACCCCGTTTTGTGACTCCTGGCAGTTTCGTATTTCTAGTTTCACAGGTACAGTTTGACACATGTCATTTCACACTTCCTGGTCTGACTGATCATGGATGATTTGGGAAGACTCTTGTGGACACTGTTTCCAAAGCTTCGTGGATGATTCAGCGTTCTAATTTGACCATCATCGTTTGGATTGAGACGTTCCCTTCATTGAGGCATTAGACTGCAATGAGTCACGTTCGGAACCCACCAAATCTCCATTCAGGGGGATCATCGAAGCCATCCGGGAGGGCTTTTCTCAGTTCTTCGGTGAGTCCGCCGTTCGCTTTTCTAAGACCAGCACCTTGGTGATTGTCCTCACTTGCGTATGCTGCAGTCAAATCTTGAATGCTTACATCCCAAAGGTGCCGCAGCGGGCGTTCGACTCGCGAGACGGGATCTCAGAAATGCTACATTTACCCAATACATCCGCGATCCGGTTCCGGTGTTTACGTGACGAAAGCCACCGATATTTCTGGAGAGAGACTGGTAGCAGAGTCTTCTGAAGGTGAAACGACACTTTGAACCTCCCACGATTCCGCGGTGTGACCAAGTTCGCCAGAAACAGGTCTGCGTGGAGAAACATGTTGCCGCAACACATAACACGCCATGTTCGAGGTTGCGGTGGCAAACTGCCAAGCTACCCAGGAAAAGTGGATAAGCTTTAAGACTTTAAGCCCTTTTTGGGGGAATTGGATTCCCCACTGAAGGTTAACCTGAATTTTCCGGGGAAACTGAGGGGGTCAGCATGGGTCAGCCAAAGAAAGACACCCTTGGCCGAAAGAAGCTCAAGACGTCAAGGTTGCGTGCTTGGATGTCAGGTGTGCCATGTGGGGGGAACATGTTGCTTCTTGCAAAAGGGCCTCCACAGAGCTTTGCAACTGCAAACACAAGGGCACAGGACAATATCAAGGTCTTGTTGAATTGCTGATTGTTATGTTGGTGGTTTTCCTTTGAAGGTGTCTTCTTTGTGGCGTTAGACACTATCCACATTATGTTGTTGGTGTTTGCTTTGTTTAGGATTGCTGTGGACCCTGCGGCGCCCCAAGCCCGTTCGCACAGGCCATGGGCGATATCATCAGCGCACTGACGGACGGTTCGCAGGTCGGGGTAGGGACCGTGATGAGCAAGTCCCACTGCAGGCACCATGAGCAAGTTGGATGGGGATGAGGAGGTACCGACCCCATTGATACCCTTTTGAAATCATTGGATTTCTATGGATTTCTTTTCAAAATGAGTACTGTAAGCCCCGATCTCCACTCTCTCCTGGAAAGTGGACTGCTTCTGGGAAAGCCGGGCTCGACCTGGGAGCCCAGCGCATGGAGTCAAAAGCTCAAGCAAAATCCTACACCTTCTCAGCTTCCAGAAATAAGCCAAACATGTCGCCCCCAACTACTGGTTTGTAGTCCAAGTTCCTCAGGACATCACATGGTCCCTGAAAGAGTCATTTCCGCCATGAACAGGTCGCTTTCGACTTCCATGTATATAATACAGTTTACTTCTGGCCTCTGAGAATCACCCCGAATTCTGTGACTGCTTCGTTCACGCGTTGGTGTTCCGGGACGTCGAGCGCGAGAGTTGACGCTGGGGGTTGCGGATCCAGGGATAGACCCAGGATCTTGTGGAAGATGCAACAGATCTGGGACATCTGTAACATCCAGATCGAGGTGTTTCGGGTGTTTTCCAGATCGTGGTCCGGTGGGACACCGTGGACCGATGCGAAACAGGAGGATTTTAATCATCGAATCGTGGAATATGCTCTACTGGTGGTGGCCAATGCTGTGACCTCCGCGGCCATGGGTGTGGCCATCCAGACTCTGGGACTGCAGCGGATAATAGGCTAGGCTGCGTGGCAGCTCAAGAAGGTGGCAGCTTTTGAAACTAAAGTGATGCTCAATCGAGAATGATAGAAGCTAGAAGCTAGAAGGAACCCACTCATTATATATATTATCACGAAAGCTAGCATCAGGCATCAGCTAGCTGGAGTTGCTCTTGCTTTGGCAAGTCAAGGGCTCGCAGCCTCGAGAATCATGAATCACGTGAAAACTTCACGTGTAGGCCCCCCCCCCCCGCGGGTTCAACTCCCCCCTAGGACGCTTCCGGTACGTGCTATAGTGCTATGTTTCTGCCATGGTGGATCTCCTGCTGTGAGTGTCGAAGTTGTTAGGTGGCAGGTGTTTGGAAGGGGAGGCATGAAACATGAAATTTACGCGAGGGTTCAAGGCTTCAATGATATCAGTCATGAATGTGGACAGCAGAGCCAACATGCTTGCAAGCACAGGGAAGAAGATGCAGCCCTGAAGTTTCCAACGTTCCTGAGCAGATAGCTTAAGGAGCAAAGCCATGGTCGTTGCAGTCGACATCCCTTTCTGTCGCAGTTTCACCGTGTTTGTAATTAACTAGGGCCTCGTTTTGCCATTTCTACGAAATATTGCAGCCAGTTTCCTCCAACTTGCGAATTCGATGGATTCCAATGTGCTGTCTCCGTACCCTTTGGGACGCTTCCGGTGCGTGCTATGTTTCTGCCATGGTGGATCTCCTGCCCTCTGTGGAGCGGCCCTTGGTGCCGACGAAGATCTGGGTGCAGCGGAGTGGCATCCGCTAGACGCCTGGGGCACCAAGACGGGGTGAGGTGGTACGGTGGGGTGTGAGTGTCGAAGTTGTTAGGTGGCAGATGAAGTAGGCCACTTTTTGAGTTTGGACGGGGAGGCATGAAATTAACTCGAGGGTTCAAGGCTTCAATGATATCAGTCATGAATGCGCATCAAAGCCCTAGCATTTAGTACTTGCAATTAACAAGGGCCTCGTTTTGTCATTTCTACGAAATACTGCAGCTCGTTTCCTCCAACTTGCGCACTCCATGGATTCCAAGTGCTGGCTCCATACCCTTTGGACATGTCTTTAGCAACTCACTCACTCTCTCTCTCTCTTTCTGCGTTTCCTCTCCATGCTCTTCCGCTACTCCGCTGGTTACGGTCGTTTCGCGCGCAGCGAAAAAGGACCTCCGCTGGCGCGGCAGCACTGCGTGTGGTGGCCTGGACGGGCTCCGAGGCAGCGGCGGTGCAGCTGGCGCGGAAGGCGGATGTGAACGTCACCACCGAGGAGGAGTGGTGAGAAGCGCGGAATGTCGTAGATGGTTGTGGCACGTTGTCCATTGGTGTTTGTTTCCATGTGCGAACGGTCTGCTCACCTCAGCCGGAGGATGGAATATCATGAATCAAGCTTGTTCTGCATTTTGGGATGGGAATCGTGATGTTCAGTTGGCAATCACTAGCTTGTTTTGCCCAGAAGACGGGCTGCTGGCGCGACCAGGGAGCTTGTTTTGGGGAGAGTTTTCAATGGCCCGACGGAGGCGAAAAGGCGACATGTGCCTCTGGTGGTTGTGGTAGAAGGTTACTGGTATAAGTTGTAAGTAGTAGTGGATCCACCATCCACTGTCCACTACACGCAGCGGCTGGGGATTTATGCTGTCTCGCCAGGATGTGTTTCAGCAGATACCTTTGTCTTTGGCTTTGATGAATGGACATTCTGCCACCGTGGGCCTGCGACCCCTTGTCGGCAGAGAGGCAAACCAGTGTAGCCAGATCGAGTTGCAAAAGATGCCTAGATGCATCGCCTACACGGCTATAAATATGCCTGAACAAAAGTACATAAGCCACTTCCATATTATACCGTATCAGTCTGAGTTGAAACTGACACCGGAAGTCAGAAACCAGGCGTATCAGATATACCTGCCTTTGAGCTTCCTTCAGCATCTCAATGGATATAACTTACACTCCACAGACCCTACGAATATGCTCAAACAAACATACATAAACCAGGTGTATCTGATACGCCTGGTTTGTGACTTCCCGTGATGCTCATGATGCTGCGTTGCTTTTCTTCAGTCCCTCATTACATATACATGACGATCCAACAGTTGAACCTGGTGGGGTGACACGGTCCATTTGGATCATTCGGTGGTTCGATTTTGTAGACGTCGAGAAGCATGTGTCGGCGAGTCCTTGTGTCAGAGGGCGGGCGTTTGATGCACAATATGCAAGATATGCCGGCGCAGAAAGCAGCCGAACACGGTATTAAATTTGATACTGTTTTCGTACGGAACTTGTAGCAGCACTTCTAGCAGCGTAGTGTGTTCCAGATCTTCTTTCGCAGCAGCATCAAAACGAGCTCAGCCCATCGAAGCCATCAGGTCAGTAGACTCAGGCGGTTCAACGACTGTAACTTTTCTGTGACAAGTCTGAGCAGAGTTTTGTGTACGTCCGTGCTATGGCTGCAGCTCAGTTAGAGTCTTTCAAGGAGACCGCCGACATGTGTAGAGGCTAAGATCTGATATGAGCAACTGTCAAAACCTCCGATGAAGGCAGCAATATTACAGCGAAGATTAAGTTAAGCAAGAATGAGGGAAACCTTCAGGAACGATAAGTTTCACAGAAAAAACGATAAGGTTGTTGTACACGTGGGAGCGGGGTGTAGCAGGGTTGTACATGTGGGGGTCACACAAAAGCCTGGTGACATGCCCTGATTGACTGCATCCTTGTGGTTTATCATGAGCTGCTAAAATGACGTTTAGATATCTGGGAATTTGTGATGGGCGTTTGAACGATAACAAAAACGATAACGTAGGGGACACTTCTGTGACTGTTTTCGTTTACTGAAGACCCCTGCTCACGTATAGGTCCCTTTGTAAGCCATGTGGGAACCACCAGGCAGCCAACCTAGAAGACCAGGAGTAGCAGTGTGAGCGGGGTGTAGCAGGAAGACCGATAGGGTTTTGGTAATGTGAGCGGGGTGTAGCAGTGCATGAAAGCATGACATGCACTGGATGTGACTTCAAGGACTTCTGTTGTTCGGTGTGTCCAAACCCTCAGGAACGATAAGGTCCACAAAAAAACGATAACATTGGGAAGAGTGCGCACAACAACACACAATAGGTTTTGACAGTCGCTCATAATATGTGAGTCCGTTTTTTCGGTTTAGTGTTGGGTGCTCTCCGCTTCGCTGTGTCGCGAGGAGACATGCTTGAACGAGATCAGAGAGATTACGCGGGCGGAGCTGGATGCTTTCAAGGACATCACCGGACCAAGTCAGATTTACAGGTGTCGAGGCAAAGGTCTGGGCATGCGACCTTCTTCGGTTTGATGTTAGATCCTTTTCTGTCGGCGTGTCACGAGGAGAGCATCCTGCAAGAGCTTCGATGTGGCGCGGAGGCGCCATGGGCTCCGTGGACCGGGCAGAACGTTCCTGGAGTGAAAAACCCTCACGGATTCAGGAGAATTGTCCCTGCAGCTGTACTTTCTCTGCCCAGACTCTCTCTTCATCCCATTCAAGATGATGGTGAACCACACCAGTATGGATCATCAGCCGTCAGTTTGTCTCCAAAGGGCCAGGCTCAATGCTGCTAAGATCAGGCGACGGCCTATCGAAAGCCAGCACCATTCAAGCACATCAGTTGTGCCAACAAAACTCAGATCGAATAGTCTAGAGCAAAACTTTGGACAGCCTGCCATGGATGTCTGAAAGACGGTCCAACAGACAGGAGGGCAGTTGCTGCGCTTCGAGATGGGGCACTAAACTGTTTTTCTCTTGCGATCAAAGTGTACTTTCTATCCCTACATAGTCAAGTTGCTACAACCTGACTCTCCAACAACTCCGGCTCGTCCGACTCGTGCACAGGATACCCACGATGCTGTCGACAGTTGCGCCGCAGGCGTGGCAACCGAAGTTGACGATTCCTTACGTCTCCAGCTTTGGACTGGGATCGTGGTAGATACACCATAAGTACAAAGACACTCGCCACCAGGTTGGATAGAGCCATGTCTATAGATAGAAACATGATGAAACGTGCGCAGTTTGATACCTTTTTCCTCAAGTCTCCGTCGTGACGACTTTATATCAGTTCTTGCAACGTACATATGTGCAGAGGAGTCACACGTGCGCTGCTGTTACTCAGTCGTTTGGGTCTTTTCTTTGCACTGATGAGGTTTTGAGTTGCAGCATGCCTTGGAGCAGAAAGAGCGAGCTGTGCAAGCGGAGCAGTATGAGGAGGCGTGTTCCACGGTCTCGTAGACTGAAGCTGTTTCATCCTTGACGCTCAAATGCCTCGGTGATATGCTCCAACGCCCTCCTTTCCTCGTTCTGTGTGCTGCATTCGTCTCGCCGTCGTCTGTTGTAACGTCGCTGCTTCGCCACCGTGCCGATGCGTTGCGCCGATGCGTTGCTAGCGTGAAGCTCAGAGGAGACTTCCGCCGCTGACGCCTAGACTGACAACTCCGTCACCTTCATTACGTTGTCATCTTTGGTGAAAATGTAGCTATTTAGACACTTTCTATCTCGATACGTCCTGAATTTCGATTCGCTGTTCACCACGTTTTAGGTCCCACGTGAGCCTGTTGGCTGCTGAAGACACAGAGGCAGAAGTGGTGGACGGAGCTGATAGAGAGCCCGCAGCAGACGCGGACGGCGACGGGACCTCAGCGGGATCCTGGCCCAATAGATCTAGTCCGACCCAGTATGCCCAGTATGCATATGGTGTGCAACAGTCACAAGGATAGATGGAACACTTTGGTCCTCGAAACGCCACATCTTTGTGACTGTGGGCTGGGTGGTGTTCCGTATCATTCACTTCGTCTCTACATCAGTACTTCCGATGTCGTATCCGAGGACGGGGAGACGGCTCGTGCTTGGGGTGAACACCGTGTACGGCAAGCGGCGGCGTGAAGGCACCAAGTCTGGTTCGGTGACCTGCTAGGACCCTCTTCAGGTACCTATGAGAGTCTATAAGCTTCTTCAACCTCTGTGAGCCCCTTCGTC